TATAATGTATATAAAATATAATTATAATACAAGCTACCAGTGTTTTTGCCATGTTTGATTTAATTGTATAAATATAAGCCTTGGTATACACATTAATTGGATTTGTAGAATTAATTTCTCCAGGTGGTCTAGTCATCTTATCATAACGACAATCATTTGTTAATTCTTGTAAAAGTTCAGTTTGTGCCATAGAACTACTATTGCTTAATATTGGACAATTTTCTAGTCTGTAAGAAATATATATAATTTTATATATATACAAAAAAATTTTTTTAATTTCGTTCAACATTTTATTAATATTATTTACCTATCTAATAATAAAAAAAATAAAAAGTATTAATATAATAAGATTATTTTGCAAAAAATTTATAAAAATTATAATAACAATAAAGGAAAATTAATGTAATATATTTTAAAAATATATTTTAATTAATATCATATTTACTGATATTTATTTATAATAAAAAAAAAAGATATTATTGTTAAAAAATAAAATTGTTTTAAAAGGAAGTCCTTGAATTAAAATTCCAGACATTATTAACCAGTAAGAATAGTTAATTATGTTGCTTTGTATCAGAGCCAGTGACATAATGGAATGCATGTGACTCTATATTATAAGAAGTCTTTTGTTATTGGAAATTCAAATATTTCTTAAAAAACATAAAAAAAAATTTTAAAGATATTTATTATAATTAAATAATTTTCATAAAATTAATATAAAAATATAATTGAAAAAAAAGAAATATTTCATAAACATCAAATTATATCTATATTAATATTTCATAGTTTATAAATATAGATAGAAAATCTACAAATTTAAAATTGTTTTAATATTTATTGTATCATATTTTAAATATTTATTTTGCAGTAATTATATAATTTAACTTTAAATATAAAAAATATTTATTAATTTTTAATTGAAACAATAGAATTTTGGAACTCTAATCAGAACATTAATATCAATTTCAATAACAAGTCTTATCTACAATATGAGCACATTAATTTATAGCATCAAACATTTAACTGTTTATATAAGTTATCAATATTTTTCTTCATAAAACTACGTATCATAATTGAAAATAGAATCTTCTTTTCTTTTCTTTTAGTGTTATATAATTTTCTTTTTAAAAATCATATTTTTATATATCTATATCTATGTCTTATAAAAGAAAATTCTTTCAAAATTGTTATGTTATGAATTGATAAATATTATAAGAATTAAATAATTATAAAAGAATTATTGCTTACAATTAGAATCATGATAAGTGCAGATTTTATTTATAATAATATTATATTAAATAATAATATAATAATATTATATAATTTATAATAATATTATATAAAAAAAAATTATTAAGAATGGTAAAATAATATGACATTATTAAAAATATAATCTTATAATAAGTTGAAAAATTGATACAATTATCTTTGAATGCTAATATTTTCATAATGTTTTAAAATTTAATTATTTACATATAAACATTATTATTACATATAACATTACATTTTTATATTAGATATATATAAATATAAAATTATAGTATATATCAGAGTATAAATATAAAATTCTTATTTTATAATTTAATTTTATAATTTATATATTTTACTAGAATGAAAATATTTTTTTTATGATTTCAAATCTATAATAATTTTATTTGTTTAAAACTGTAAAAAGTAAGATTAATAACTTATATTAATAACAATAGATTAAAAACAATGATAAATAAATAAATAAGATGATATTTTTAAGATGTTGTACAATAGTTGTAAAATTTAGAAAAATGTTAATTATTATTAAATCTAATAAAAATTTTAAAAAATTGATTATAATTATATAACTTACATAGTAGATGTATTTAAATGTAACATTTGTAGTAGATAAATAAAAAATATGAAATCAAAAATTATTTTTAAAGCCATCTTTAAGTTCCTTAATGACTTATCTGCTTCACTAATAAAGTTGGACTGATTCTTTCTTGCATATACATATATATTCTTGAGTAAATTTGTTGGAAACTAAACATTACCCAACCATTCCTCCCACTAATATTCTTTTGTAAAGTGAACATTTAAATGTTTAAATATGATATTAAATTACAATATAAAGTATTTTAAAACTGTGAAATAAATATATATGAAATAATTAAATAAATATTATAAAAAAACATATTATAAAAAAACATTAAAAATAAAAAATTTTTTTATCATTTTATTAAATTTTAATTTTTAAAATATAACAAATAAAAACTTTAAAATATAAATTATGACACATACTTATATATATTAAATGATATTAATTTCTATATAAAATATATTTTAATTCTATATTTTTATCATTTTTTAAAATTTATGTAATTTTATTCATCCATCTTGTGATATATTTAAACATTAATATAAATTACTTATATACATATATATAAATTGACATCATATTGATATTCATTATTATTAATATTTGTTTTATATTTTTAATTATATAATAAATATATATTTTACAATGTAAATATTATTATTTAATTAATTCTTATATTTTTATAAGACATTAGTTTACAATGTCTTAAAATTAAAATTAATTATTAACTGATTCAAAATTAGATTTAAAAAATTATAAATATAAATTATAAATTTTAAAAATTCTATATATATTATTAAAAATTTATATTGAAAAAGTAAAAATATATTAAAAAATATGTAAAATCTTACAGAACTTTATACAATTCCTTAATTATATATTTAGCTCATTTCTACAATTGTAATCCGTGGTTTCATACGATTGAGAGTATAATTAAATAAATGCAAATTTTCTAATAATTTTGTTATTCTTATATAATGACGTTCAGTGTATGGTATCATAGATTCCAATGTGGAAGTTAATTTTGTTTGGAATTCCAAATTTTCTATTCCATCATTAATGTATTTATAATTATCTGTTAATCATAAACATTATAATCATAAAAATTTAAAAAAAAATATTATAAATATGAAATTATAATAAAATTTTTACTTCAAAGAATAATAGTTTACTAAAAATTTACCTGAGCAACTTGACAATTTTTACTATTAAAATTCCATGTAATAGCACATTTCAGCAGTTCTTCTTTATAAATTGGTTTTAATTCATGAACTGTTTCTTCAAGATGAAAATTATTTTTCTTTAACATAGCTAAAAAGAATTAAAAATTTAATTAATAAGAATAAAAAGAATAAAAATAAGAAAAAAATTAAAGATAATTTTATTCAATTATTAATTTATATAGGATGATTAATATATCTTATATATTCATTTTCTTTTTTGAAAAATGCTTTATATAATGTCATTAAGATAATAGTTTTATATAATTAATAATACTCTATATAATATATAAATTAATTAATAACGTTTGTTCCAATAAAATATTTTATTATTTAATGATTAACTTTAAGCATAATAAAAATTTTTGTTTTGAATTTGATATTTATAAAGAAATAAAAAATTATAATACCACAATTTAAAGAAAATAAAGTGAAAAATATTATAATATTGTATATGATATTATGCAAATTAATATATAGTGAATTTTTTGTTCAATATATATAATATAAATTTCTCAAAATATATATAATATTAAATAGATCATTCTACATATATTCTTTTATATAAATATAAATATATAATATGTAAATGTTTACATTGATAATACTTACTTTCTACAATTTTCAAAACTTGAAAAGGACGTTTTAATTTTAAAGCTAATTTTAATGCAGAACTTAATTCATTTGCTTTAAATAAATTTGATAATTTTTGTTCTTCAAGTGCAATTTGTTCTAATTCTTTTGCAGCTTTTATTTTCTTTTCTTCAGTTACATCTTTCCAAATTACTAACAATGAATCACTTCCACCACTAATAATAGTTTTTTCATTTTTACTAACTATAATTAAAATATAAAATTATAATACATATAATATAATATGTAAATAGCGTTATAATAATATTTACCTGCAAGTGACCATACACGGCTTTCATGCTGTTCTAAAATACATGTACATTCTGATGTTTTAATATTCCAAAGTTTCAAAAGACCATCTCCACTTGCTGTAATTATTTGCATTCCACGTGATAAAAATTCTGCTTTTAATACTGATGATTCATGACCTTCAAATGTCTGGCATATTAATAAAATTATTAAATATATTAATAATAATTATATAATTCTAATGAACAAAATAGAATTATATTATATTATAATTTAATGAATTTTAAAGTTACTTTTAAACAATGAAGTTCTGTTAATGACCAAAGTTTTATTGTGCAATCTGCTGATGTTGTTAGAAGTACTTGATCTATGGGTGAAAATCGCACACACCAAACTCCTCTACGATGTCCACGAAATACACCAAGTAATTGTAAATCATCAGACCATAACTATAACACATATAAATATATTTAAGAATAAATTATATAAAAAGAATGTTATGTATTATATATATATATATATAAATTTAATAAAAATATTATGTTAAATAGTACATCTAATAATTTTTATATAATAACATATAAAAGTTATATGATTTGCTTATTATTAAAATCATATTTATTCCATAAATTTCTTATTTTACTTTAATTCTTATTATTGTTAAGAAAAAATTAAATATTTAAGAATATTAAGAATCAACATTTACAAATAATAAGAATCAATAATCTATTAAATATGAATGTAATATTTAAGAGAAGAAGAATAATGAATGAACTATAAAGTGAAGAATGTCATATGTATTATTTTAAAAAGTTAATGCATCATACCTTAGCTGTTTTATCTTGAGATCCAGTTGCAATTAATTTATCATTTGGTGAAATAGTTACACTATTAATATCTTTTTGATGAGCCAATGTTGTATGAATAACATTTAAAGAGCCTATGATTATTAAATATATAATATCAAGTATTAAAAATAATAATTCATAACAAACATTATGTTTACCTTTAAATTCAATATCATTTTGTAAATTCCATAATTTAAGACATAAGTCTTGACTAACAGAAACAAAAAATTTAAAAGATGTTTGAAAAATTGCAATAGAACCAATAGGAGCAGTATGTCTAGTAGCAGATGCAATACAAGATACTTTATTTGTTTGTTTATCCATAAGCCATACACGAATACTATTATCCTACAAATTAGCAACTGTATATTATTTCAATTAATATTCATTGTGTTTCTATATTTACCTTATCTTATAATAAAAAAAATAATAATATAATTTTTTTTCATTCTAAAAATATTATTTTCTTTGTAATTATAATAATAATAAGTTATTAAAATTTTGTAATTTTACATTTTTATTATTTTTCTTTTGATTGATTAAAAAATAGTTGTATTATGATATATAACATATATCATAAAATTATTTCCCAAATAAATCTACATACCTTTGCTGCAGATATAAGTAAATAGACATTAGCATGTGTTGTAGCGAGAGATAATACAATATCTATATGACCACGTAATAATTCGCAATTCATAGTTAAAGTATTGTATAACTTTATGTCACAACTATTAGTAGCAATTGCTATATGGCTCTCATTATCTCCAAGAAATACAATATCCAAAATTTCATCACTATAACCTATTAACTATAAAAGAATTATTATATATTTATCTATTAAATTATAAATTTTATTTTATTTTAAAAATCGAATTTACCTGTTTTATACACTCAAATGTTTCTAATGAATGAATAATTATGTTATGATCAACTGTAACCACAGCAAAGTTATTACTAATATCATTATAAAGTAAATGTGTAATTGAGAGAGTTTCTGTTTCTTTTGCAGCTGATACAATGGAATTTTTTTGTACATATACTTCTTTACCAGTTTTCATTTCCCAAATTTTTACAATTCCTTAAAGAGAATTTAAATTAATAACAGAATAAATAAAAAATTTTTAAATAGTTATATATAAAAAGTTATTAAATTAAATTTTAAACAATTATTACAATAAAACATAAAGAACAAAACAACATTCATTTATTCAAATATAAAGAATAAATTTGAAATAGAAATAAAAAAGATTCAATAATTATCTTTGACAATAATTTAAACTATAGATTATAAACTATAGACTATATTTAAATTATAATTTAAAATTTAAAAAAAGACTATATTCATTATAAAAATATGCATTTATAGCAGAATCTTTTTTGACTACAAAATAACAAAAAATCATAAATTAATATACTTGAAACTAAATATTAACTTGATCTTAACTTGATATAAATGTTAATTTAATGTTAATTTATTGTAAATATATAAATATCTTTTATTATCTAATATATAATAAAAAAATTTATAATTAAACCTTTTTCTCCTGCAGTAGCAATATGAATAGCATTTTCGTCTTTGTTATAAAAAGGTAGAGATAGTGATAAATTTTTAGGTATAATAAATGTATCTTCTATTTCTTCATAAACTGGTATAACTCGTTTTGATGATCCAGAAGTTAAGTCCCATAAAATGAGTACTCTATCTCTTCCTGAGCTATATAAGAAAATATGAATTATTTACATTAAAAATGAATTATGAATTACTTACATTAGAAATTTTTAAATCTAAATATATTACCTAATTAAATAATCTTCGATAAAAGATAAAGATGTAACTTTACTGAAATGTCCAGAAAACGTAATTTCTTCTTCACCAGTTTTAATATTCCATCCATGAATTTTAATATCATCTCCAGCAGCAAAGATTAGTTCTTTATCAATATTTGGATGAAAAACTAAAACACTATAATTATATTTTAATTTATGAATTTCATAAAAATTCTTATATTGTAAATAATTTAATTTAAGATAATATAAATTTTATATAATCATTTAACTTAGTTTTATTTTTAAAATGTAGAATAAAAAAAAATTTTAAGTAAATTATATATTATGAATATTTGAATAAAAATTGATTTGTATATTTGAATATACAACTAACTTATATATTTAAAAGTTATATTTTTTAAAATAAATACCTTATAACTCCTTGAATTCCTTTCAAATTATGAGTACAAGTATGATATTGTAAATTCCATAATCTGACAATACCATCACTACCTCCAGAAGCCATCAAATTTCTTCCATGGAATGAGCAATATGAACTACAGGACCTTTGTGAATAGACTTCCATATTTTAATTAATTTATTATCTGTAATAACAACATTTATTATATTGAATAATTGCTTATAATTAAATTAAGTAATATTACCTTATTACCTTTCCAATTCCATAATTTGAAAAGACCACTTTTATGATGTGTAATAATATTTATGTTATTATTACTTGCAATAAAGGTATTAATTGTGTCTTCTTCTTCATTATTATTACTTTCTCCTAAGTAAGATATTACTATGCCTTTCTTTACTGATAATATAGAAACTGTACCATATTTTTGACAGAATATATATTGTCCATCTGTACTCCACTATAAGAAGAATTAATTTAATTATCTAATAAAATAAAAAAAGTGAATAACATATATGCTTTAATCAATATACTTGAACTTTTCCTCCTGTATAAAAAGCATCATGTTTAGATTCAACTTCGAAACTGAAATTAAATATGATTAATAAAATAACATGTATATATATATATATATATATATATTATATCATCATACATATATAAAGAATCAAATTTTAAAATTAAAATATACATAACCCAGATATATACTATTTATTTTATTTTATTTTTTTTTTATATAAAATTTCAAATATGATATAGAATTTCATTAATTACAGAATATTAAAGAAAAAAAATTAATTAAATTAATTACTTACGCTTCTTTCAAAACGACACTCATGTTTGTGGATTATTATAAAAATTTTCTGTTTTATAAATAATTTTAATAAGTAGCACTTATTTGTATATTATGTTAGTTTATTATGTTAGTATATTATGTTAGTTTATGTTAATCGATTATAAATAGAAATATATACTAGAAATAAAACGAAAATTTTGCAATTAATCAAAACAATTATGAATAAATATAATATTTTTCTTCATAGATTATCTAATTTTATATTTAATGTTATTTTATATATCTTTGCGATCTTGTGGCACTTCATGAATCCATTTATCCATTATAGCAAGAAATTCGCGGTAAATACAAATTATATTGCAACATAATTGAAATAAGAAACAAAAAAATTTTTAAAATAAAGTATTGATCTAAAAAATTATATTGATATCATTTATCGCTTATCAATTTATTTAAATTTATTACTATGAGATTATATTATTAAGGCAAATTTTTTTTTCAATAATGATTTGAATATATATATATATATATAAAGGTTAGATTACAATACAATATTTAATTCATATTACGTTAATTAAAAACTTGTTTAGTTTTATATAATATATATTAGTCTCATAATTAAAATGTTATACATAATAATAATAATAATAATAAATTAAAATGTTATATATTATATATTTTATATATATATTACATTATATACATTAAAATATATATATATATAGATTTACTTTAAAATGTATATTAAAATTTTCAGTTAAAAAAAATTATTCTTTTTAAAAGTATTATTCTTTTTTAATAAATTATAATATGTAATGATTAATTTAAATAATTACATTCATATATTTGAAAATTCTTTTTATTAAGATTATATAAATATAAGTTTAATCGATTTAAATATATTAAAATTAAAATAGTAATTAAAACAAAATAATAATAAATATTTTATATTTAAATTAAATATATATACATATATTATTGACGAAAAGTTTTAAATAAATAAAATTATTAAGATAAGACAATGAGTATATGTAAATAGCATGAATGAACTTTTAAGTATCATGGCGTCGCCGATCTTTCCGGCAAGTAGATTTTGCCATCGTGTCCATGGAATCTCTCTCATGTTTTAACGTGTAATCTATATTAAAAATAAAGAATGACGGACGACGTGGTAGTCCTAGAAGATGCTGTTCAAAGAGAAGAAGAAATAGCTCATTTTCAAGCTCCTGCAATACAACATAATCCCGATGGATGGGGTCCTTGTGAATTACCTGATCAATTTAAGGATATACCTTATCAACCATTTTCAAAAGGCGATAGATTGGGAAAGGTTGGTAACAAATGTAGTTTCTGTATTTTTTATTTATAAATATATTTTATATTTTCATTATTTTCTGAAATAGATATCTGATTGGACTACACCGGCTTTTCAAGATAAAAAATTTCCCAGTAAGTAATTCCCATTTTTTAAATTTAATTTATATAAACTTTTATTTGATGTTATTTATTTATTTTTACACTATAGTTATAAAGAATTTAATTATTAACTATTTAATTAATATTAATTATATTTTCAATATTTATTAAATTATTATAATATAAATATGTATTAAGAAAAAAACTTAAAAAAATAAAATTGAAAATTTAATCTATTGTTTTGTATATTTTTTAAATACAAAAAGAAAAAATTTTGATAATTTTAGTAATAAACTTTAATAAGATTTTAAAATAATTATTACAAAATAATATAATTTAAAATCATTAGATTTTGAATTATATTGTTAAAAAAATATGTATATAATTTTTTAATTGAATGATAATAAGATGCAAATAATATAAATAAATTATTATTTCTATTTTAAAATTCAATTTTTTTTTTATAGTTTACATATAATTAAAATCATTTTAAAATAAATAGAATTTTTTTTTGTGTATGCATATTAAATGTAAGCATATTAAATAGATTATATTTCATAACTAAATATATTAATTATATATAATATATAGTAATTATATAATTACAATTTAAAATAGCAAAATATCACTGTTTTATGCAAGATAAAAAATTTTTATTCATTAACTTAAGAAATTACTTAAACTTAAAAAAAAAAACTTTTAATTGTTTACAGACAAGTATACATCACAGTTTGGTTCAGGGAGTCAATATGCATATTATCATGATGAAGATGAAACAACTTTCCATTTAGTTGATACAACTCGTGTACAAAAACCACCTTATCAACGTGGTGGTCGATTCCGCCATAACCAAAGAAATTTACGTGGTAGAGGAAGTCAACGTGGTTCATTGAGTCAAATGCAACAACTTGGTAAATTAAAACTTCGTGAAAGAGATCGCAAAGGACAAGCAAAACGTTGGGGTAGACAACAAGGATTACGTAATCATAAAAATCAACCTCCAATTAAAATTCGCGATGCATCTGTTACTGTAAGACCTGATTGGGTAACTATTGAAGAAATGGATTTTCCACGTTTAGCTAAATTGTCTTTACCTGGTGTAAAAGATGGAGAAGATATTTTATGTTGTGGCTCTCTTGAATATTATGATAAAACTTATGATAGAGTGAATGTTAAAAGTGAAAAGCCACTACAAAGAATTGACAGAATCTTTCATACAGTTACTACTACTGACGATCCAATAATTCGTAAACTTTCAAAAACAGAAGGAAATGTTTATGCTACAGATGCAATTTTAGCAACAATAATGTGTTGTACTCGTAGTAATTATTCATGGGATATTGTAATTGAAAAAATTGGAGATAAGTTATTCTTTGATAAACGAGATAATACTGAATTTGACCTCTTAACTGTAAATGAAACCAGTGTTGAGCCTCCTCAAGATGATGGAAATTCTTTGAATTCTCCCAGAAATTTAGCTTTAGAAGCTACATTTATTAATCATAATTTTTCTCAACAAGTATTAAAATCAAATGAACCTAGATATAAATTTGAAGAAGGAAATCCATTTATTTCGGAAGAAGAAGAAGGTGATGTTGCTAGTGTTGCATATCGCTATAGAAAATGGGATTTAAATAACGGAATTGTTCTTGTTGCAAGATGTGAACATGATGCTGTGATGCAAGGTCCTAATAATGAAATTCAATTTTTAACAATTAAAGCTCTAAATGAATGGGATTCAAAATTGGCTAATGGTGTTGAATGGAGACAAAAATTAGATACACAGCGTGGTGCAGTATTGGCAAATGAATTGCGCAACAATGCTTGCAAGTTAGCAAAGTGGACTGTTCAAGCATTGCTAGCTGGTTCAGATCAATTGAAATTGGTTATGTTTCTAGAGCAATGGTTAGAGATTCTAGTAAACATGTTATTCTTGGTACACAGCAATATAAGCCAAATGAATTTGCAACACAAATCAATCTTAATATGGATAATGCATGGGGTATTTTACGATGCATTATTGATATTTGCATGAAACAAAAAGATGGAAAATATTTAATTATGAAAGATCCAAATAAACCAATGATAAGGCTATACGATATTCCAGATAATACATTTGAAAGTGAAGGAGAAGAAGACGAAGATGATGATGAACCTGTTAATGATGCTTTTCAAAGTTAACAGTTTTAAATTTTCTTGAACTTCTTTGAACTATCTTAAAAATCATTGATTTATATTATAAACATGTATTTTAAGAAGAAAAGGAAGTGGCATAATAAATAAATCTTAAATCTATTTTTTTTATCATCCAATTTTAAAAACCTCTATAAACTAATTTTAATTTATATTAATATAAATATTAAATATCTGTTTTATAAAAAATAAAAAGCTCAAAAAACTTCAATAAAACTACTTATATAAATTTTTAAATTTATATAAGTTTTTATTTTTTTAATTTTTTTTTTATTAATTATTTGAATTTTTTCTCTTTTTTACATTTCTGTTTGTTAAATAATAGAATTTTGATAATGGATTATTGATTTGTTTCATGGTTATTAAAAATTTTTTTATTTTATTATTCTATTAAGTAAACTTTTTATTTTTTATCCAATTTACAGATATTCATTATTATTTACTTATTGAATTTTAATTAAAAACTATATATATTTATAGAAAGTATATTTTTTTATATTATTTTAAAAAGATAATTCTAAAAAATATTAAATTTAATACTTAATTTAGAAAATTTATACAATGTTTTTATTCTCTGATGATGAAAAAAAAGATTTATTATAATACCCATATATAATATATCTTTGTCAATAAATAACCTAATAAAAAATTAAGAATATATTATATATATTATACAATATTATAAAATGTTAAAAGATCAATATGGCTTCTTCCATGGTTGCTGCAGCGACAATTCGTGCTGTCAAAGGTAGAAAAATATTAGCCACACGCGCTGCACTTACTTTAGTAAGTAAATAATTAACATAAATATATATATATTTTTAATAGTTTTGAATTATTAATACATAATATTAGTTAATATTATTATGAATTTACATATATTATAAATATTGAGAAATTGAGGTTAAGTTTGTAATTCACATTGAAATTTGACGTTCAATTTTTATTTTTAAATGTAATTTTAATATATAGTATTTCTTTAATCTTAATTTTTTTATATATTTAATCAATTTTTTTTTGAGAATAAATATAATTATATATTATACATAATATATATAATATATAAATAATATATTTTAAAACATCTCAAATTATTCTTTAATTAATAAATAATGTAACAATATATAATTTTTTTTTAAATATACAGTACATAGTACAGATATAATTATTAATAACTATTTATAGATCTTAATTTTAATCATTATTGTATACTAAATATAAAGTCATAGAAAACTTTAAGCAATATTTTTATTAATACAATTAATAATTTTATAAATATATATAAAATTAATTATATATAGAAAATTCTGTTAATATTTATATAAGATTGTTATTTTTTACTATTATAAATAAAAATATTTCAGAATTTGTTTTTATAAGAAATATTTTTTATATTATATTATTTTTATTTATTTATGTTTGTAATTTGAATTTTATAATTACAGACACCAAGTGCAGTAAAAAAAAATCAAGGAGTTATTGAAAGATAAAAGTGAATTTGTAAGTAAATATATTTTAATTACTAAAATATTATTTGTTTTTCTATAAAATGATTTAAACATTGCATTTATTAAAAAAAAAAATATTAGTTAATACATAGAATATTTTGTCACATCGACGTGTTTTTTTCGCAATACCTTGATTTTTGGCTCTCTTTCTCTTGGCATAATTATTAAAAAATTAAATATATGCAATATTATTTGATTACAAAATCAAATAATTATTTTCTCTTTCAGATTGGTCTAAGAGTAAGTGTGAAACAACGAGGATGTAATGGTCTTAGTTATACTCTTGATTATGCCAAAGAAAAATCTAAACTTGATGAAGAAGTTGTTCAAGATGGCGTTTGTATTATGATCGACAAAAAGGCACAATTATCTTTATTAGGTACCGAAATGGATTATATAGAAACTAAATTAAGTTCTGAATTTATTTTTAATAATCCAAATATCAAAGGCACATGTGGATGCGGAGAAAGTTTCTCTGTTTAGTTACTTTACAAAATTATAGTTAACATAGATGATTGAATTGACAAATTTTAGTAAAATATAAGTTTACAAGCATATAAGCATATATAATTTTACTAAATGACACCTTTTTAATTTTTTCTTTAATTATCTTAAATATCCATCAATTTGGATATTAAATCTTAAAATTTATAATTATAATATTAAAGATGTCATATAAAAGTAATAGAAAACTCACTATTGTTTACTAAAAATTTCTTTTGTTATAAAGAAGAAAAAATTGATAGTATGACAGATACAATATACAATATTACATTTACACATACACATACACATACGCATACACATACACATATAAGATATGAAAAAATATGTAACAATTATCATAGGTGAATTTAAATTTGAATTAGTAAAAATTTAGAAAAAAAATTATTTATATATTCTTATAAAATATTTTTACATAAATAATAAATTTAACAGATTCAATCTAAATTTAAAATGTAGGTATGATATAGAATTAATTATGTAATATTGTATATTTATTTTGTAATTAAGTGTTACATATAGAATAATTATATATAGATGTATAATAATTAGCAAAATATCTTGATTATTACAATAAGTTTATAAAAATTTATTTATCATTCGTTATGTACATACAATCATATTTTGACAATTACTATAATTATATGCTATATGTATTTATTAATGATATATATATATATATATAAGTAATATATCATGTAATAATATATATATATATATATATATATATATACAC